GTGGGAAAGCCATAGAAATGAAGACAATGAACAGCTCCATTTAAATATGTCTTTTTAACTTGGCCCTTTATTTTAGAATTTCTACTCAGAGCTTAAAGACATTGTGTTTTCTCGAGCCATCCAGGAAATCATATCAGTTACAAGAAGGTTAACTCTCGCGGGCCACTTACTCTCAGCCCCATTTAACTGGGAAGATAAAAGCCCTACATGAGGGCTTCTGTACTTTGTCCTGAGTGGGACCCCATCTCAGTTCTATTCAGGCACCCACTTCCCCCCTTCCCCAGAGACCTATTAACTTCAGATACGGCGATTATTTCAAATGCAATTTAGTTAGACATACAAAAAAAAATGCTTGCATATCAGAAAGCCTTATCTAAGCAATTGCCCTTTGGGTGCAAAGCAATAAATCTGGGGAGCTGGGGCAAATTTGGAAAGGCCTCCAGCATGGCAGTTCTACCCCTGTGTGGATGTCAAACAGAACACTTGCCCAGAGATGAACTTCTGTTCCCATTTCACTTTGGAAGTATACAGCACATCGGAGAGTTATGTAAATACCCTAGATATGTTTGATATGGTGTTTCAGCTATACCATAGGGAAGGTGGAAGGGCCCAGACTCCACCCTCAAGGATTGCATCACCCTATCATGTGCAGTCAATCCCTTTCAGATTTAATACTTTCCCATCATCATCACGACTTCAAACTGCTTTTCCTTTTCCTTTTATATTGGTATGGCTCTTCTCTTAGACCTGTGAGAACGTCAACCTGCTTGGAGCAATTGACCGATAATCACGTGAAAATGCCCACTCCTACGTGCGTCACTATGGCTGTTCTAAAGCGTTTCAAAGTCAACTGAAGGTTGCCTAAACAAGACCCCAACACTGATACCACCAGCTGGCATGCTAGCTTAGTTGGGGGCAGTCTCACAGGGCTCCATCCCTAGATGAACAGCTACAGGTAATTAATGACCGCACAGAACAGGAGAATCTGTCTTCCCCTGGGATGAGCTCCCTCACTGATTATCCAACATGAAGGGTCAGCCCTAAAAACGTATCCATACAAGGAGCACTTAATTGACATGAATGTATGTAAATATAAATATATATATGTGTAACAATAATAATTAAAAAAAAAGAAACCATAAATACGAGAGGGAGCTGGGGAGGGGATGATGACATGGAAGGAATTGGAGGAACAGAGGGAGAGAGAAATGATAAAAATGATACTCATGTGGGAAATTTAAAGACAATTAAAAAGTAAATTGCGGTTAACATAAAATTCCTTGAGAGGCCCAAATGACCAAACACGGTAGATGTCAGAGGAAGGAACTCCAGAAATCCTGTCTGTCCCAACGTTCTCTCTCTCTAATTTTCTTCTTCCCCGCTCCTTCCAACCATCCTTCACCATTTCCGTTTACAAGCACACCTCTCACACCTGTTACAGACTTTCCACACCTGTCTGGCATGGCGGTAACCATGAATGACCGACCTTTAGTTCGCGGCTGAGGAAGTCATTGACAACACAGAACCACTGGCGAGTGGTGGGAAGCAGGAAGGTCTCCGTGCCTCTTGAGGCCGGGCCGACAAGTCTGGAATAGATGCTGAGCATCAGTGGGACCAGAGGCATTGGGAAGTTCATTCCAGAACCATAGACTCAGTCGGATAAAAATGACATGTGCAGATATTTACATTTTTTATTTAATACATTTGCAAAAAACAGAAAAAAAAGAGAGATCTTTGACATGAAGTTGAGTAGAAACAAATTGTTGGCATGTACATATGGATTCTGGCTATATTCTTTGTAGAAGTCGGTGTCCCCATATTTATTAGAATTAGTATCATAGATATACAGAGACCTGGAAATTCTACTCGTAGGAATTCCTAACTCAGATCTATGTGTGCACGCAAAGGCATGCGTCGGCAGCTCTCCCTTGTAGCTCTGTTTACGGTAGCAACTGGCATGAGAAGTGCCGGCAAATGGTAAAGGAAATGGTACATATCGTGTAACACGGGCTGGGAGCTTCTAAAATGATGCGATTCAATCGGCACTGTGAGATTTGGACCGTTCCTGGCATCAGTTATCTATTGCTATGTTGATAACATGTAACGCACCATCCAAAATTCCAGGCGCTTAACATAAGCATGTAGCTCATGTGTCTGCGGGCTGACGAGTTAGACTTCGCAGCTCCCTGGGTTTCAGCTGAAGCTTGCTTATGCGACTGCAGTTCAGCTGGATGTTGACCAAAGCAATCAGAGGAGAGTTTCTTCCACGCTCACCACCAAATGTGCTGTCACACTTTTATCGGTGCCCATATGTTCTGGCTTCCCTTAGGTTGGAGCAGGTGTGCCATCCTGGCTCCTGTCTGGGGTTCGCCCCTCAATGAGGTCATCGGTCCAATCACTTCACTCTAGAGACGACCCCTCTCTCAGGTCACCTATTTTGTTCTCCGCTGTAAAATTTTTTATTTCTTTCTAAACATATGCTGCAACATCGTCTTATACCTCAACAAAAGCTCCCTGCTAACCAACTGACACATTGTCTCCGTAGAAAGAAAAGTCTAGTTTTCTGTGTTGGCTCTCTGTGCTTCCTAGCCTCTACTCATTCGTGAACCCGCTGAAGGCAAGCTATGGTGTCTACTGATCACTACTTCTGCTATTTCCCCTCTGCGGTGGTCTGCTTGTGGATTCACCTTCCTCCACTCTAAGCAGCACTTGGCAAGGGGGTGGGGAGGGGGTCACTCCCATTGGCTGCTAAGTCGTCCTGGTCTTGGATGCTGAGAAGCCACTGTCCTTGCTCTGTGATCATTTTGTTGGCCATAGCTTCTTATTTTGTTTGACCAAATCCTCATCTTCCTGATCCTCAAGTTCTGGAAAGTTCCAGGACTTAATCCTCAGGTCTCCCATCTTCTCTTTTGCAACTTGTCCCAGGTAATTTCATCTGTCCCTAAAAATTTAATTGATCTCACTTTGTTTTTTGTGTGTGTGCATGCGCCTGTGCATGCATGTGTGCATGCACACGTGTCTTTGTGTGCATGTGAAGGCCACTGTTTTTTTTGTTTTGGTTTTTGGTTTTTTGTTTTGTTTTGTTTGTTGTTGGTTTTTTTGGTTTTTTTTTTTTTTTGAGGCATGGTCTTTCACTGAACCTAGAGCCAACAATTGGTCTGGACTGGGTGACAGGTGAGCTCCAGAGTCTTTCTGCTTTCAGCTTCCCAGTGCTGGGATTGTAGGTACTGTGCCAAGATGCTTGGCTTTTCACACGAGTGCAGGGGATGCAAATCAGGTTCCCAGGCTGGGGCAGGCACTTTGTCATCTCCCTAAGACCCAAGTCCTATCATTTTAAATGCCAACACTATGTTGACGGACCTCAGCTATCTTCAGCTATTCATTTTATATGAAATATTTCCTTTCTTGAGAAAAAATGCAATAAATATCCTTACATAGAGGATTGATTTTACTTCTCAGATGGGTAGAAACATGCAGGCACTTTTCAATTCTCTAGATATTAGTAAATGGCTCTTAAAAAGACAGCAATATGTCACATTTACAGCATAAATACAGGGAAGTATACGCCTCCCCCCATTCAACCAACAATAGGCATTCTCATTTCATTCTTATGTACCTGATAGGTACAAAGATGTATCAGCACCTATGAACTAGTTTGTAACAATGCAGCTAATGACAGCAGTTGGTTGCTGTGTTAGAGTGTAAGGCAGTAGGAGGCTTATTGTTGGAATAACAAAACTCTCATGCTGGAATGGAGAAGAGATGGGGATAGGATTCCCTATAAGGATCCCAGTAGAAAAACCGTCTGAGCTCCCTAACAGACAACTCCCCAGACTTTTAGAAAGACGTGAATGTCTGCTCTGGGTAGTGATTTGGTCCATATCAGGTGCATCCAAGGGAGCAAAGACTGATGGCAACAGTGAGGAAGCAGAGCACCAGGGCAGCTTGTAGGTAGTCATTGAGGGCCACAAGGAGTCTCCACAGCCTCAGCTCTTCCCTTCTGCTACACTGACATTTGTGGCTTCCTTTCCTGTCACCTCATAATCAAGTGTCGGCACGGGAGGCCCAGCAACCACATTCATACCAAGTGGTATCAGAAAAGGAGTGGATAAAAGGCACAGTCTCTTCCGTTAATGACAGTTGTGAGAACTGGGAACATCTACTTCCCTGGTAGCTTTATTAATGAGAGCAAGGGGTGGCTTATTTTGAAAATCCAGCTGGAAACTGGATGACTTTCCTAGGCTGAGTCAGGGAAGTAGAAAGTGAAATAGGTAAGGTTCTGCCATGGTTGCTATTGCTCTGAAGTAGCCATTGTCCATGAAAAGACTTAACTATGAGAATGACGCCAGGTCCCTGGTTATTAGAGAGGCCTTGCACGGGAACTTATTATTGTCTTTAAAAGACATTGACATGATTGTGTTTACTCTTACACTCTACTTGTGTTTCTCAACCAGAGGCAATTTTGACAACTTCAAGAGTGTTCTCTTATCCCGGTGAGATGACGAGTCGGCACCACTGGCATTCATAGGTGGAGGCTAAGCATAAGGATAACTCATAATAGTAGTTATCCAGTCACATGGCCAAGGGACATCATACACCTTGCTTTAGGTGATTCAAAATAATCTCAGATTTCAGAATCTATGCAGAGAGCTGAGGGTGTCGCCTGTTCTGGGTGACTGAAGTGAGTAAATCTCAGGCTGGCAAGACGGCATGACATGTAAAGACACTTGCAGTCAAGTCTCATGACTTGAATTGGATCCCTCAGACCCCCACATGACGGAAGGAAAGAACTGACTCCCATGAGTTGTCTTCTGACTTCTACATGTGTGCTATAGTACACATGAGTGCACACACACACACACACACACACACTATATATATATATATATATATATATATATATATATATATATATATATATATATTACGTTTATTAAAATAATTAAATACCACAGTGCTTAGGCTTCATCTGGGATGTAGAATCCTCATTGTGAGCCACTGGGAACTGTTTCCCTGAAACACTGACCTCATTTTACATAGGACCATTTATACAGCTATGTGACAATATGTGATTACAATTACCATGGCTATTTAGCTGTCTGCTTTTCTGCTCACCCTGAGATTGGGTGGGCTTTCCCTGCTCTTATTACCCCTCTCTCTGCACTTACAGCACAGAGGAGTAATCTCCTACCAAAATATCTGAATCCCCTGCTAGATACACACACCTTCGAATCAGAGGCGATATTTCATCTGCCTCTGTGTTTGTAGCCTCCAGAGAATGCAATGCAGTTTAGCAGGTGTTCAGAGGTATTCACTGAACCACAGCAAACAAACCTGTTTATCACTGGGCCTTCCTTCACGCAGGCACAGTCTGATAGCTTTTATTTCGACACTCACAGCAAAGATCATTTCATGACTTAATGTCGAGCAAAACGTTGCTTGGTCTGGCACATCATCTGAAGTCCAAAGAATGGAGAAAACAGAGAGACTCGGAGCTGCAGTGTGAGTCACTGAGTTCTCCTCTGCCTGTCTTCTGTGCTAGAAGATTAAAGAACCAAGAGCCACAGAGAGGGGAGTGTTGGCAGACCTAGGAACCGATTGATGCAAACTGGTATGCGGTGTCCATTTCTAAATTTTAGTTGGTGGAAAACTTGTAGGTATCTGTTGGCCTGTCTTTCATCAGCAGGCTCCCACTGCAGGATTCTTCTGCCTGGAGATGAGGAATATTGAATGACGGACAGAATATAGTATGTTCCCTTTAGAAATTTTCTTGAGAACAGTTTGTGCAATGTAAGACCTGTTAGGTAGAGTAGGGATTTCTTGTAGCGCTATGAACAGACCCAGCTTTTCCTAACATCCTACCTACCCTTATGCTTTTTTGATGGATTGGAGGGGTAGGATCTCTTTGATGTCGTTAACATCGAGTGCATCCTTGTGATTACAAAGAGCAAGGACACAGTATCTTTGGCACAGCTGCAGCAGCCTCTCCTGGGGCTCATTGGCTATCCGTCTAACTTTATGTAGTCAAAAACATCCGCTAATCAGGGTGTTCATTTATGCCTATGTGCATTTTTTTTATTACATTTTTGAGCTTCTCCTTGGATTAGGTGTTCAAAGCGATGGTAGGGCATTTAGAACATGGTTCCGTCATGGTCTCACCAGGTGGCAAGGTGGAGCAATGAATATGATTGGCACAACTAGAGAACAGTGCCGGGAAGTTCAGAGGAGCACGTCATTTGCCAATGTAGAATCCAGAGCTCAGGAACAACTTGACAAGGAATTGCGTACTGAGTTCAGACTGGGAAGGGAGTGGGATTGGAAAACAGCTTGATGTTATACATGAGCTTCTTTCTTCATAGAGTGCTCCTTGGCCAAGCTCAGTCTTCTGTTGGGGTCCACAGAGGTTTCCTGGTGAGATCTGAGCTTGCTTCACACAGCAGGGCTGCATAAGGGGAAGGCTTGACCATGTGCATGGTCACCAGGTGTTTGGAAGGGTTTGCACTTGGCTGTGCTGGGGGAGGTCTTTTGTCCACCCCTTGGCATTCTTTTAAAAGCCCTTTAGAAGAGACAGAAGGGGCCAGTGGATTAGGATCCAGGCCCACCCAACGCTATCCTGTGTTTCTATCTGTCTCTCTCTCCCCTCTATATTTCTATCTAAATATTTTCCACTTCTCCCTGTTCAAGAGTACCCTGGGGAAAAAAGTGGGGGCAGATCCCCCACAAGTCTCTTAACACTTTCTGTCTTGTATCAAAAACCACTCTCTTGGGGGACAACCTCTATGGTCATCATAACGCTGTATATATTTAGGAAGGGCACTTAACAAGTCAGAGTTTAAAGATCTTTGAAATAGGAACCATGTCTGTTTTACTTCTGGATCCCTATGAACATCATCAATATTTGTCCAAAGAATAAGCAGGTAGAGGGAATGGATGGGTCTTCACTAAGCCAAAAGCAGTATAAGCAAAGTGGAGAGTTCAGAGTAAATGACACACTTTAGGCTTCTGAGGAGATCACTTAGCATGTCTGTCCTATAGAACAATAGAGAAAATGAGTGGGATAGTAGCTTGACTATCTAACACCAGAGAAGTTTAGTCGTTTTCAAAAAAAAATGTTTTATTGGCCATTGGAAGCCATTAAAAGTATGGGAATGCTTGTGCTGGAGAGATATAGCTCAGTGGTAGGGTGCTTGCCAAGGATGGAAAAGGTCCTAAGTTTAATTTAAGAAATTATAAAAAGGGCTGGAATAGTTAACACAGTAGAGTGCTTTGTCTAGCATGTATGAAGCTGTGGGTTCAATTGCCAGCACTGAATAAATCAGGCATGGCATACACCTATGATCTCAACCATTGGGATGGGAGGTGGGAGCAGGGGGAAGAGAAGTTCAAGGCTGTCTTCAGCCAGGTAGTGAGGCTGAGGCCAGCTTGGCTTATAGTAGATCCTGTCTCAGAAAATGTGGAAAGAAAGAAAGAAAGAAAGAAAGAAAGAAAGAAAGAAAGAAAGAAAGAAAGAAAGAAAGAAAGAAAGAAAGAAAGAAGGAAGGAAGGAAGGAAGGAAAGAAAGAAAGAAAGAAAGAAAGAAAGAAGGAAAGAAAGAAAGAAAGGGAGAAGGGAAGGAAGGGAGGGAAGAAGAATGGGAAGAGAAGGAAAAAAGAAAAAATTAAGACAAAAGTGAAATAGAGAGAGATTTGGGCTGCAATAATGACATAGAAAATGGTATTTCAGAAAAATTATTTAGCCTGCACAAGTTAATTGAATGGGGAGAAATGCTTTGGGTCTACCTTTGTATTAGGGTTCTTGAAAGCAAAAGAAGTCATAGAATACATATGCAATTGTAAGAGAAATGCATTGGATTGGCTTACCCATTCAGAGTCTAGCTAGTCCCACAGTGGCCGTCCACAGGGTAGAGGGCTGCAGGAACCAGTAATTGCTCAGAATAGGAGACACAGGTGATGTGAACCCAGTCTGTCACTAAAGCTCTGGGAGCCCCCGGGAAGTCCCTTTAGCAGAGATGAAAAATGAGCAGTAAACATCAGAGAGAAGCAAGCTGCAGCCAATGCTTTTGGTGCACTGTCAACATCCGCCCGTAGACCCAAGGAAGGCTTGGCCAAGTCCCATGGGTCCCAGGCATTGGCGTCTTTGTCACTGATACACATTCACTCAGGGCTCCCTCCACTCCCTGAAGAGTGACAGTTAATTTGTTGGAAGAGTGACTTAATGTTTTCAAAGAAGAGACTACGAACTTCACCTCTAGTCATAGAGACTGTGACAATTAACACACATGTGGAAAACAGGAGCTCTCTGCTCCCTACCAGGGTCTCAAACCCCATGCTGGTCTGTGAGCACGCTGAGCACGCTACTCAGCTTTCATTTAGAAACCACTACAGAACTAATCTCATATTTTAGGAATGAAGATTAGCTCCATCAGGCCCCCCCTGAACTGGAACATCTTTAGAAGACTTTGTGGTCTCAGCATCCTCCTCCTATCCCTGCCTATACCTCTCCTTGCTCTGAGTTCCTTTGGTTCACTCATTTCCAGATCTTAAGCATTTACTTACAACGGGATTTCTCAAAGCCCCTGTAGAACCAGTTTCTTATGGAGTCTGTCTCAAATTCTGGTGCGAAAGCGAGGATACTTTCTTCAAACTACCTGCAAATTATCCACTTACTTTCTGTAGTAGGAAAGTTTTATTATTTTGTATATCATTCACTCTCTCCCTCTTCAACTGGTGACAGCTAGTTGGAGAGTTCTGGACTTGGATTCACTTTAGGCAGACTTGGCTACCTGTACTTTTGAGTTCCTTGACCAATTTATCACTGCCCATAAGGTATGATAGCTGACTTGGAGGGCAGTCAGGAAAATGCTAATGACTCTAAGTCAGAGTTGTCATGGCATTAAAAGGAACAAGAAATAAAAATGTCCTGTCCTGTCATGAAAACAGCTTTCAGCATCTATTAGGATATCTGAAAATTATTACATTATGGTACCATGGAACTCCAAACACACATGTATACAGAAAACACACAATAGATGCACAAAGGCATTATTGCGGCTCATCTTGTCCTGCCTTGCAAATACAATTTGGGCATTTGGAAGAGTGACAGGGGCATTAGAATCAAGTTCCACCCTCCCAATAATTTAATAAGTCTCAGTCTTCTCATTTACAAAATGAGGAGTTGGATTAAAGCAGCTCTCGCAAGCGCTTCGAGCTCTCAGATTCCATTATTCACGAGGCTGCCAGAAAACACATCCTCCACTGCCAAGTATGAACTCAGCACGCCACATGTTTACAGAAGCCCCTTCCCCCTCCACACCTCCCTAGCCTTGGCCTCCTACTCCCCAAGACTTCTCTGAGGAACTCATGCCTATAGCTGCTAGTTCATATCTAAAAGAGTGGATTTTTACTCCTTCCTCTTCGATTTTTTTTAACTGCACTTAATCACAAGGTGTTTCACTATCTACTTTTCTGTCTGTTATTAGCACTACATATTCATTCATTTTGATTTTAGTCATCCTTCAAACTTACATTAAACATCAACTGTTCTCAGGACTTGTGCTAGGCTCTGAATATACAAAGACAGAAAAGTGCAATTCTTCACTGTGAGCTGCCAGGAGTACCTTAACGTGATACTGTCTGCTCCACTCAGTTGTCAGGCAGCTGGGCTTGGAGAAACTGGCATTTCCCTGGGAATCTGACATCAGGAGAAGGAAAAGGCTGAAGCTTGGTGGCAGCTGCAGAAGGAATTCCTCTCTTAGGGAGATGTTTCACGACTGTAGGGAGTTCTGACAACTTGTCAGGCTACCTTGCAGGAGAGATTGGATGCAAGACAATGATGAGTCATTGACGTGTGGGACCAGATCCTAACCAAAACTGCTCAGCTTTGCAAACCTCTTGCTCTCTGGTTAAACCTAAAACTCACATCAGGACCTCAAAGCTGTACTTGCCAGGAAAGAGCCACCAGGCCTCTATTTGTTCGTCTTCCCAATGCAGCCACATTGAATAAATCTCCTTTCTCTGCTTTTCCCTAGTACCTTTCTTCTTTCCACTGTTACATTTCTTCTTCTTCTTCTTCTTCTTCTTCTTCTTCTTCTTCTTCTTCTTCTTCTTCTTCTTCTTCTTCTCCTTCTCCTTCTCCTTCTCCTTCTCCTTCTCCTTCTCCTCCTTCTCCTTCTCCTTCTCCTTCTCCTTCTTCTTTTTCTTCCTCCTCCTCCTCCTCCTCCTCCTCCTCCTCCTCCTCCTCTTCCTTCTTCTTCTTCTGGCTCCTCCTCCTCTTCTTCTTCCTCTTCTTCTCTTTCTTCTTGTTCTTATTCATCAACAAAATAATTTAATAAATAATATTATCTAAATATTTGAATCAACATCATTATAGGAATAAAGACAGAAAACATATCCTTTCAATAATTGTGACAAGCAAGTCCCATAAACTGCTGAGATACAGCTAAATGTGATTTAAGATTTGAAGTCTTATCTTCAAAGCCCTGGAACAGCTAGATGTAGATTGTCCTGCTAGCAAACAAGAATAATGAAACCATCTATCTTAGAAATGCTTCTCCTTCAGAAATGGTAATTCTTCAGGCCCTCCAGAACTGATGTTTGATAATTTTTGAATCAGGAAGAGAATGACTAGGCTTGTACACAATTGTGTTGACAATAAGCATGCCTTCTAGGATTATAAACACATGTGTTATTATTAATATTTTGGATCCCTGGGGGAACACTTTATAAACAAGTGTCATTGACTTTGTTTCCTTCAAACATGACCAAAATCCCCATGATTACCAGCCTGGGGTGAACCTCAGTCAGCAGTATTACTCAAGGACAAGCTTCTTGCTTTGTTATGATTGGTTCAAGCTCTCAGTTTGCCTCCATTTAATATACTGTTAGCTATAGGTTGTTGCATGTAACCTTTATTATTTTGAGGTATTCTCTATCTGTTCCTACTGTCTCCAAAACTTTTGTTATGAAGGCATGTTAAATTTAGTCAAATGACATTTCTCCATTGAATAGAGATGATGGTGTAGTTCTGACCTTAGGTTTGTTTATACAACTGATAACATTTATTGATGTACATACATATGTTGAACCAACCTTGCATTTCTGACATACGGCCAACTTTGTCGTGATGTTTGATCTTCTCCATGTGTTCAGACGGATGGGTGGACAAGTTGAACAGAATACAAGGTCCACAAATAAACTGACAGTGCTATAGCCACCAATATTTGGACAAAGGTAGCCAAAACATGCGATGGACAAAAAGACAGGCTAATTAATAAATGGCGCCAAAAAACTGGATATCCACTGACACAAGAGTGAATTAGATCCATATTTTTCATCCTGTATGGAAATCAACTCAGAGCGTACCAAAGACTTTAATCTAAAACATAAAATGCTGACACTGCTAGGGGAAAGCAGGGACTGTTGTGCAAGATATCAGGGTAGGCCAGAACTTTCTGACCAAAACTCCTATCACAGGAACTCAACCCAAGAATCAGTAGATGGGTCTACACAAATCAAAACAGTTCTGCACGGCAAAAGAAACTATCATCAGGGCCTACAGAGTAGGAGAAAGTTCTTAGTCCGATGGGGAATGCCTTAGTTTGCCTTCTATGGCTGTGATAAACAACATGACCAAAAGCGACGTGGGGAAGAAAAGGTTTATTCCAGCTTGGATCTTATAGTCTGCCATAAAGAGAAGTCAGGGTAAGAACTCAAGGCAGGAATTGAAGCAAAGGCCATGGAGTCATGCTTCTTACTGGCTTACTCCTCATGGCTTGCTAAGCATGCTTCTTTATACAACCCAAGAGCATGTGCCCAAGGGTAGTACTGCCCACAGCGGTCTGGGTCTCTGACCTCAATCATTAATCAAGAAAACATCCCATAGACTCACCTACAAGTCAATTTGATGAAGGCATTTTCTCAGTTGAAGTTCTCTCTTCCTAGATGACTTTAGCTTGTGTCAAGTTGACAAAAGAATCCAGCCAGCACAGGAGACTAATATCCAGCATTTACAAAGAATTTTTTTATGCACCAAGGAATCAAAATTGCCAATCAATAAATAGGCTAATGAAATGAATAGTTCTTAAAAGAAGAAACGTAAACTGCTATAAGGTATTTTTAAAAGATCAACACCCTTATCCATCAGGGAAATGGAAATTAAAACTACTTTGAGATACCACCTCAGCCCATTCAGAATGACTGTCATCAAGAAACCTGACAACCAACGTTAGAGAGGATGTGAGGAAAGAGGAGCACTTATTCATTGCTAATGATAGTTTGAATTACTACAGGCATTACAGAAGTCAGTAGGGAAGTTCCTCAAATAATTAAAAATAGATCAAACATGGCCCAGCTGGTCCATTCCTGGTCCTTTACCCCAAGGATTCCATACCCTTCCACAGAGAGACCTGCACATACATGCACATACTGCTGCATTATTCACAACATCAAAGAGATGGAACCAGCCTCCCTGTCCATCAACAGAAGAATAGAAAATGACAATATGGCACACATACACTGTAGACTATTATTCAACTGCAAAGAATAGGGAATCATGACACCTTCGGTAAAATGGATGGACCTGGACAGAATAATACTAAGTGAGGAGACCTGAACTCAGAAGGACAAAACCTATATATTCTCTCTCATATGCAGATCCTATAATGTATGTGCACATATATACATAGATATGTATGTATAAGTGAGGACAAAGGCCATCACTCCCTCGGAATGCTCAGCAGGGAAGGTTCTAGGCTACCAAGAAGCTGATACCCAAGGAAGCTCTTAGCAGTAGCCCACATGGGTAACTTGCAGGTCACCTTTCCACTCCTAATTGCCATTCAGAAACAGGTTGGGAGCAATAAGGGACAGATGTTTTCTTTCTTGAAGAGTTCCATGCTAAGCATACCAATTTAGAGGTGATAATAATCATCCAAACATAAATATTTTGCCTTCAAATAGCAATCTGGCTTCCATTTGAGTTTTTAGGGAACACAGATGACCTAATTTTACTTTCAAGGTGACAGGTGGAATCTTCCAAATTGTCTGAGCAGAATAAAAAAGAACAGCACCAATGTCCTGCGTCTTCAGGGACAACTCACAGCACAGCTAATCCAAGAAATATTGTTTGTAAGTGTGTCACAAGTGAAGTGTTGTAGAATATTATTTTAAGGTGTGTTACTTTTCTTTGTGTTGCATTTGCTTAACTCTGTGAAGCTCTGTTACCCTGCCTGTCTAAAACACCTGATGGTCTAATAAAGAACTGAATGGCCAATAGCGAGGCAGGAGAAAGGATAGGTGGGGCTGGCAGGCAGAGAGAATATATAGAAGGAGAAATCTGGGAGTAGAAGAAAAAAAGAGCAAGAGAACAAGGAGAGGAGGATGCTAGGGGCCAGCCACCCAGCCACCCAGCCAGATGCAGAGTAAGAAGGAAAGAAAAGGTATATAGGAATAGAGAAAGATAAAAGCCCCAAGGCAAAAGATAGATTGGGGATAATTTAGATTAAGAAAAACTGGCTAGAAACAAGTCAAGCTAAGGCCAGGCATTTATAATTAAGAATAAGCCTCTGTGTGTGATTTATTTGGGAGCTGGGTGGCGGGACCTCCAAAAGAGTAAAAACAAACAACTGTGAAGGGTACAGATAACTTTGCAAGTGAAGGATAATCACATCATTGTTCGATGTGTCCTGTGGTGCTGGCCATTGTTTCCTTGGCTTTTAAAAATCTTGTTTTTCTCTTAAACTTTAAAGCCTCTCAACAGACTTCATTGTGTTCTTTTCCTACTCATGTCAACTCTAGGGTGGTCAGTGTCACTGTTTCTACAACCCTAGGGGAATCTCAGCTCCCTCTGAGAAAGAAAGGAGGACACTGCATCATTGCCTTGAGGAGGGAGATCTACCTTTTCTGTGCATGTAGGACTATGCATAGCAGCCATTTAGATAGAGAGCCATTGGCTGGGGCGCTAACAAGGGTTGAGGTGTTGCCAGACACTGGTCTAAGTCACCCGTGTCTCCAACTGATTATGATAATTTATTTACATTGTTCTTTCTGGAGCCTTGCCACAGTGTTGAATGGGCTAATCACTAGCACCTGTGATGTACATTATGGGATGTACATATACATATATTCATTGATAAATTTTTTAAAATGCTACCTAGGTGAGTATAGGTGTCTCTGACTTGCAGTGTGATTTTTATGTATAGCATGTAGGCTTAAATATAGACACCTGCCAGCTTTCCTATGCTTCAAGCTGGACTGCACTGTGGGTGAGCTGGGTACATACAATGAAATATTAGAGTGTGCATTATTTACTCACAGTATTATTTACTCATTGATTCCGTGAATTTCTATCAGCTTTCTTCTTCCACATAAGGTGATCAGTTGCAGGTTGACAATGAAAGAAATATGAATTTCTATGCCCAAAGCTTAAAAAAAAAATCATTATATTTAATAGGGAGCCTAAAAATGAAGAACGGCTTCTGCTCTGGTCTCTCATTTCGGGTCATCATTAGCGAGGGTTCTGGGGGACAATTGGAAGGAAGAACAGGGTTGAATTCAGACTTGGCTGTGTCATCTTAGCCCGCTGAAGGAATGGAAAGCAAAGTTGGCCTGCTGTTATCAGTTGCTGCTGTCACTGCAGGGTGGCCTCCTGCCTGGCCTCGGATGAGACCTCCAAGTCACAGGAGTGCCCTAGTCATCACAAAGGCAACAGAGACTTCATGTGCACTGGCCACTGGAGGAGCTGCAAAGAGTTGTTCTGACGGTTTAAATGAGCCAGGAAAGAAAAGGATAACACAAGAGTTCACTCACTGATGAGATTCCACGGAAGGGACAGAGCCTCGTTTGCGATAATTAGAAGCGTAGTGTCGTGTATCCACAAATAATTAAGATTTTCCTCAGGTCATGAGTTTGTCACAAATACCAAGACTGAAGGGTGGCACTGAACCCTGAAACCCAGGAGATCTAAAACATCTGTGTCAATAGGGCTAACATGAAGGTTGATTTTGAAGCCCTTTGAAAACCAAACGAAATAAAGAAAACAAAATAAAGA